CAGCGCATGATGCATCCAGCCCGCAGGCCACGAGTTTGACACCCCTGATATACAGCATATACAGCCCCTAGGCTAGCCACCATATACAGACACAGGGAGAAGCAGAAACATAGAGAAATAGTTTTAGCATTCATGTACCAACCCTGATCTGACTCTCAGAGAAAGACAGAGGCAACATGTACAATGTGCAAAAAACCTGATTAGTATCTTAGAATAGAGCACATGCATACACAGAAAAACCACTGTGGGCAAATGGCTGTGAAGAATTCCATCAGTCATGCTCTGAATGTTCTCCTGACCTTTTTGCTTCTTACACTTTATCTGTAATATCCAGTTTATTTAAAACAAAGGCAAAACCGAGCATACAAACCAAGACAGCGTGGAGGTGTTTGCCATTTTCCAGCTTCACACTTTATTTTTTGTGGGCCACGAAGAAGAAAATGTTCTTGACACTTGAAGCTAATTTCTTCTTCGGTCTTGTAGATTCTCATTTCAGCTACATTTATGGCATTGGGAAGCTGAGGTGGTGGAGGGCAGGTTCCTTTAACAAAACAGCTTATAATTAGAATTTGTTTAGGATTAGAGCTGAAAATTATCTCATTTCTACTTTATCCAAAGATGAATCCTAAGTATTTTCTTAGGAGGCTTTTATGTCAAATCTCTTGTCTACCATGATTGAGAATCCCATAATCACAAAGAGATTGAATTTCTAATTATATTTGTATGATACAATTATCAGGGCTTATTTTAAGTCAGACTTTCAGTCAAGTTATAGGATGAAATTTGCTTCATCCAGTTGATAAGTGGCTGTGTAGCAGAGCTGGCAAATAAAGTAATAAAATATCATAACCTCAAATAGCCTTTAGATTTTTAGAAGCTTTCTATACATTTGATTATGATGTTCTTCTCTCTTTGGCAACTGAGGCTTAGAGAAATTTGTGGCTCTCATTTTTCTTGACTGCAGATGTCCCCAAGTGATCCTGGGGAACTAGTTTTGTGTGCCACAGCCATCAGATTCTGCTGATCTACAGGCTTCTATCCTTACTCCTGTCAGTCAATATTTGCATTAAGTTTCAGGAGATATTTGTGTGTGTGTGTTTTTATAATGTTTTGCAGATAAACACTTATGGTAAGAATTAACAGCATACAAAAATCAATCACTTTCAAAGTTAAATAGCAATCAGCTACTAATAATAGAAGCTTTTTATACATTTGATTATGATATTCTTCTCTCTTTGGTAACAAAAATCTAAGGAACAGGACATGCAATTAGTCCATAAATGTTTGGAACATTTTCCTAAAGAAAAAATGCTATTCCAGAAGTCTGGTACTAGTACTGAGAAAAAGTGATTCATATCTCAATCCTCCTCCTCATTTCAAGGAAGTTGAGTACCACAAGCACTTTGTCCATGTAAACTGGCTGACTGCAATTGGAGTCCTGCAGGTATCGAAATCCTAAACTATATAGATTTTATAGATCAACACCAAGAACTGACCTAAAAATCTATTGGGAACCAGTAAAAGGCCCTATGTGCTATTCCTTCCTTTGCCAGTCTCTCATTGTCTGTGCGGTAGGCTGCTTGCATGGTGAGAATCCTTCACTAATCATCTCAGCCTCCAAAAATCTTCTCCAAGATTTAGCACCTAACAGTATGCTCAGATTAGGTCTCCAGTTGTTGCTACATAGATTTCCGTTTCCACAATGATACAGAATGCCAGGCCTGACCAACTGGGGAACAAACAACAACAGCAAAAACACTTATAGATATAATTTCCTATCAGACTATAGCAAATCTTTTTATCGTTCTTTCTCTCAATCATTCTTTTCTGCTATCTGCTCTCACATTTGTCTTCCTATCCTCCAGTCTGTTTTTCCACAAACTAATATTTCAGGACCCAAATTGAAACCATGATGTCTGTTTCTTCCAATTCTTACCCTTTGCTGTTACCTAGTACTCATAATTCATCGTTAAACGTTTCACCAGAAAACTCTCATAAAAGGGCCATTTGTTCCCTGCTAATCACACTGGAACTTTACTACAATCATGAAACTCTCAATGGTATTCATAAAACAATTACAGTAAAAGACATATAAGATCAAAACCAATCCAACAGTTACAAACTCAATTAGAACAACAACCTACTGTGTTTCTCCAAAAATAAGACCCGGTCTTATTTTCTTTCAGGCCCCAAAATAAACATCAGGTTTTATTTTTGAGGGATGCCTTACTCGCTTACCTTAGGACCATCACAGCTTGGCTTCCCATTCCTAACACCTGTTGCACTGCTGCCTGACTTCTTCTTTGGCTGCTTGCGGCAAGATGCTGCATGGCTCATTGTGCTGGTGCCACTGCTCACAGTGGAAGGCTGTGAAGCACATCATGCCATTGCACTTGCGAGTGGTAGCACCAGTGCAACATGGCATGAGGCATCCTGCTGCGAGCAGCAACACTGTTATGACAAGCCTTGCGGCATTCTACTGTAACTGGCAGCACCAGTATGATGTACCACATGGAATCCAGCCACGAGCAGCCACAAGCAGGTGCAGAAGAAGTCGGGCAGTGGTGCCACATTTGTCAGGGCATGGGAGGCTTGGCTGTAGCGGTCCTAATGTAAGTGGGTGCAGGGTGCATGGGGTAGCTCCACCCCCATTCCTGCCCTAGCTTGATTTTTATGCATGCACCTCATCCCACCTCATATAACCAGTTCGTGGGCAGGGCTTAACTAGGGCTTATTTTTGGGGGGGTAGGACTTATATTAGGCACAGTCATTAAAATCAGGCTAGGGCTCGGTTTTGGGGTAAGTTGTATTTTGTGGGAAACACGGTAATTATATAAAATAGCAATGTAAGTCACTGTTGCAAGATCGTTTTATTTTAAGGCTACAATTGGTGAAGAAGAAGGAGCCATCAAAGCTTTGCAGCAATGACATTTATACACTAGTAAAATTAAACTGTATTGCCCTTTGCAAAAGTAGTTTCAGGATTGATAATAAATTAGATAGCTGATATTGAACTGGAGTATGAGGAAAGCCACCAGTTAGCACAAAGACAGGTAAACAGTTGAAATCATTTATCTAATCCAGGCAAAGTTTATCATTTACCACAATGTTTGCTTATCTACGAACTGAACAAAAATAACATTTAATTAATGCAAATGTAGTTAGGATGCCTCCCAGATTCCCACAATTTTAGAAAGGAATGAAAACATGCCTTGTAACCTGAATATTAAAATAGTTACATTTTATTTCAATATATTTCTTATCAATTTATAGGGTTTTTTTACATTTATTGTAAATTAACTGACTTGGAAAGATTTATGGAAGGACAGAATATACTGTATATATTATTTTCCAACAATATATGTATAAATAAATAGAAAAAAGTGAATAATTTTTCTTGAATGAAGATATGTTGGAATTAACTAGGAGCAATGTAATGATCTGATGGTCCTCTTAAGCAACAGAAATTCTGAAACTTCTTCCAGTGAATTTTTTTTTACTGTGCCAACAAACCTGTATGGATGTCTCCATGCAAGTACCAAAAGTCAAAGATGAATTCCGTACTAAATTTGCATGCTTTTGTTCTGTGTAAATTCTCTCAGGTTGCCTAAGGCACAAAAGACTCAAAGCAAAGAACTTTTGTGATGTGAGAAATGAAATTTTATCATTGAATTTGCCTAATGAGGAAAAATGGGCAACTGAGGTGGAGTGGCTGCTGTAAAGGAAACAAAATGTCTGCTAAGGAAGAAATTGATTTTAAGACTAATGTGTATTTCCTTTTATCCTTGGATTGTTGAGGATTTTTTCTACATTGCAAAATGAACTTTTATTTTGAAATGGATACATTCACTGTCTCACTGCAGCATCAGATTAGGCAAAGCATGCACAGCTCATGGGATTATAAAGAAGCTTTTCAGAAGAAACTGTGTGCCATCAAAAGATGTTATGTAGGAAGACTGTCCTCAGGTGTGTCCTACTTTTATTTTTTAGAAATGATTAACGGCATCCTATTGAAGAAACTATAAACTTGTACATAGCATGCAAACCATACCTTTACACCGTGGCACAGGAAACCATAATCCATTAACACATTTTGTTTGATGCAGATTGGAACCACAACGATAGTTTGCAAACTGGTTGGTCTTAAACGGCTCTGTAGTCCGAACAGTTGGTTGAAAGTCTGCATACCATGGACGTGTACAACTTTGTGGGTTAACTAACAATTCAAATATTGTTACATAAGTATTTATATAATACATCCATTATTCTTTTCTTTATTTATATACTCCATTCTTCTTCTTCTAGATCAGGGCTCTGCAATCTTAAACACTCAAAGAGCTATTGGAACCAGTTTCCCTCAGGGAAAAAAAAAAACGCAGGGAGCCACAAAATCTGGGTGGGCATGACCAACTTGATGTCACTCATTCTCACCCAGTCACATGACCACCTAGCCAAGCCTACTCAGTCACAAAACCCTTCTCTCTAGTTCTCTCTATGTCTATCTCTCCCCACTCTCTGTATCTCTCTGCCCCTCTCCTTCTCTGTCTCTCTCCCACTCTTTCTCTGTATCTCTCCCTCTCTTCCGCTTTCTCTCTCCCCCCTCTCTCTGTATCATTCTCCCCTCCTCTCTGTATCTCTGTCTCTCTCTCTGTCCCTCTCCCTATTTTCCCCTCATTCCCCTTTTCTATCTCTCTCC